TAAGACAACAACCTCCGTATCCTTGGTCTTGTTCAAACAATCAGTAGTGGATTAGAGATTTAGGGTTTGGTCCGGCTCTTGATTTCCGCAGCCAAGTAAAACATGATCGTTCTTTTTTATGTCGTCGTTCTTAACGTCCTGATGATCATGATCATCTGAGTCTAGTTGTTGATTATTCACGGCATCCTTAGAAGAAGACATGATCTCAGTATCCGTGTTCTGTAAGAACACATTAGAAATTGCAGGAGTGGTAAGGGTTTGATCCGGCTCTTGATGCTGATCGACGGAACGCAATTGCTTGGCATCTTCTAACAGCTTCCTCATGGAATCGACCGCGTCGCTCAGTTCTTTGGGATTTTGCGATTTGGTAAAGGCCTCGTCTTCCCACCAAAACCCTAACCCTAAATTCTTTTGCGTCAAACAGATACCGATGTCTTCCCTCATGGGTTTGTTGTTTTCCGACGAGAAAAGAGAACGTTTTCCAGAGAGAAAAGCAGAAACGATGGCATCAACAGAGGAGTGGCCGAAGGAGTAGAAAGAGACGTGGGAATTGTCAGATATAGGAGTAGCTAAGACGGCGATTTGAGCGCCGGAGAGAAGGCAAAGCTGCGAGGCTTTACCGAAGAGTCCCTGATAACGTTTGGAGCAACAAGGTCCTCGAGACGTTTTCTTCTCTATGGGAATCTTTCTCTTAGTGCCTCCTTTTTCACCATTCTCACAGAGACAGAGTATACAAGCAGAGACACAATTCTCTGATATCGAGTAATATATATATATAGACGATTAGAAAAAAGGAAACATTATGAACCGAGTAATATGGAACCACTTCAATCCAATTATATCTGGTTTAGTCAAAACCAAAGTTGTTTCACCTGACCGTTAATCAAAGCCAAACCAGTTAAACTTCAATTTATTCGGTTCACATGGTTACTGAACCGATTAAACCAATGCTAAGCCTGCCGATCCGAATGAAATTGGAGACTAGGAATGGGCTTGTAAAAAGCCCGCCATTTGTGCAAGGCTCGTGAATATCAAACATCAGAATCCCCTCCCTCGTCTTGATTTGGCGCCAAATCTCCCGCTCGACCAAATCGACGGTGTTGATACGTGAGTTCGACAATACATTTATGAAATGGTAAGAGGATCGGAAATTCTCGTTTATTGACTTTATACTCGGAAATGGGTTACAGATAGTTTAGACGAGTATATTAAATGCAAAGCGGGTATTGAGCTCGGAAGCTGTGAACTGACGAACCTTGTCTTCGACGAGCTGACTGATGTACTGAGTATTGCGGTCGGAGGTCGAACTGATCAATCTGTGGAACGTGGATTGAGGTCAGATTTCGTGTGATAAGTGCCGTTGAGGTCGGGTACTGAGTGATAAGCACAAGCTCTGTTCAGCTTACTTATAAGCAGATTCTCTCATACTATTCTGGCAGAATAAATCCGAGGTGAATATTTCCCTTTTCAAGTTAGAGTACTGAAAACCTTTTGTTCTCAATTCCCTTGTACTTGCCTCAAAGTGGAAAAGTGATGGGACAACTCATGGGATGGGGACCCCTATTTATTAAGATAGATCCTACCTTTTTTAGAAACATTGTCACTGTTGGTGTTCCAGGCCGCAAGTCCTATGTTCAGGCCGTAAGTCCGTTGGCAAGCCACAGCTGTGTCGATAAGAAAAAGGTTAGCGTCTTTCTCAGTATGTGTTTAATTTAAAATTAAATCATGGCATCTTCGTTTAAAAAACTTTTTAGATCAAAGCATGCCTCTACTTCAGCATCGCATACAACTATTAATTCAAGAGAAATCATGACTAAAATAACATCTTTCAATCAAGAAATATCAAAAGACCAATTAACCCATATTAACCCAGACAATATATACCAAATCGGAACTTTTGATTTTAAAACAGCATATTCAATAAAAGAACATGAACAGACCTTACCACTTCAAAATGAGTTTGAAGAAATTAAGTTATTATCATCACTAGCACTTGACAANNANAAANAAAAAGGATTTAATTATATTCATTTTGGACTTATACAAATTGCTATTAAACCTTTATCTAGAACAGGAATAGACTCGCTCATCCTTATGCTACTACGAGACAAAATTCTATTAAAATTTGAGGACTCCTTATTAGGGGATGTCCAATCAAATTTATGCAACGGAGCAATATATTTTAATTGCACTCCTAATTATCAAGTAAGTTTACATGATCCAACAATACTCAATACCCTAGTATTAAATGTTCACCTACTTGAAATAAATTCCAAAATGAAAGACATGGCTATCTATTACTATATCGGATATTTTTAAACAATCAACATCTGAGTTTAACCCCAGATGTTTATTACAAGACGATAAGGGAGAAACTACTATTCTAGCAGTACATAGTAAAGATACTCCAACAGCTACCTATACACCTAAGCAATTGAACTNGAACGAGATAACCATTCNAGAACAATGGAAAATCGATATTACTCAACCNCCTAGAAACTTTGAGCAGAAAAATATATCAAGAATAATTGAACAAAGAGACGGAAAAATATTACTACAATTCGGATCGTTTAGCGAACCACTTCCACCAAGGATTAGCTCATATTATTCCAATTCTAGAGCTTCCTTCTCTGAATTCTGTACTGGTCAACCTAGTACTGATTCCGAAATAGAAAGTGTAAATCAAAACATTAAACAAGATAATACAATTAAATTTGAGGTGCCAATAGCCGAGCCAAATCAAGTTAGATATCCAACATCTCCAACCCCATCTGATTTCAAATCAATAAATATTATTACAAAAGAATATGAAATTGATAAACAATATATTAAAGAAGATTTTTATTCAAAAAATAATGAGGCAAAACGAAATTGGTATTTTCAAAAATACTCTAAGCAACAAACAATCGAATTTTAGAGAAAAATGGTATAATTGCATGATATCAAAAGAAATTAATATTCCATTTTTCACATGGTTTGAAACATATTCAATAACTCATAACATAGATTATCCATTTAGATCGATCAACACTAGTTCATCTCTAACTCAGGTATGGAAAATGGTAGATGGTAGTAAAACAAAGACAGTTCATCCACCTCTAAGAGATATAAAATTAAATACCTCTAATAGATGTAGCCACGCCTTTTAAAACTGGAGCTAATAGAGAAGATAAAGAACTAGTAATTATGCAAGATATAAAAGGAATATATCAACAAAATAATTATCAAAGTCAGTTACTACATACAATTTCCAAACAAGTAGATCATATAGACAATAAGATAAATGAAAAGGATAATACAACTCATACTATACAATACCCTTTCTCATCTGTATCACCCCCAATATTTAAGCCCATTAATGGACAAATCAAGTTCGGTGAAAATGAGATTTTAAAATCTATAGCTAATAGATTAGATAAACACGATAAAGGAAAAGGTATTAATATGATAGATGAAAATGACAATGAATCTATTCAAACCTCTATACAATCAGAAAATNATATCCAAGAAATCAATAGAATAAAAAACATATTAAGATCTAATAAGCCATATTATCCAAGACATACTGCACCAGATTTATTATTTGAAAACACCATAAATATTCTCATCAAGTATATACAGGAAATGGTATATACGAATGGAATATCGATGGACGTTCTGAATATGAAAT